CGCCGGGCACCACCGGCCACCCTTCGCCCACCCGGCAGTCCCCGGCAGCGTACGGCCACCACGAGCACGCCGGTTACCGTCCCAAGCCGGCGCTGGAGAGGCAGGACAGCATGAGCGCCTCCAAGAGGGGCAGCGTGGTGGGGAGGAACCTCAACCGCTTCTCCTGCTTCGTCCGCTCCGGGGTGGAAGCCTTCATCCTGGGCGACGTGCCCCTGATGTCCAAGATCGCCGAGGCGTACTGCATCGAGATGGGCTCCAAAGGTCCCCAGTGGAGGGCAAACCCCCACCCCTTCATCTGCTCCGTGGAGGACCCGACCAAGCAAACCAAGTTCAAGGGCATCAAGAGCTACATCTCCTACAAGCTGACCCCCAGCAACATCAACTCACCCGTCTACCGGCGGTACAAGCACTTTGACTGGCTCTACAACCGCCTCCTGCACAAGTTCACGGTCATCTCGGTGCCCCATCTGCCCGAGAAGCAGGCCACCGGGCGCTTCGAGGAGGACTTCATCGAGAAGCGCAAGCGGCGGCTGATCCTCTGGATGGACCATATGACCAGCCACCCCGTCCTCTCCCAGTACGAGGGCTTCCAGCACTTCCTCTGCTGCCGCGACGAGAAGCAGTGGAAGCTGGGCAAACGCCGGGCAGAGAAGGACGAGATGGTGGGCGCCAGCTTCCTCCTCACCATCCAGATCCCCACGGAGCACCAGGACCTGCAGGACGTGGAGGACCGCGTGGACGCCTTCAAGGCTTTCAGCAAGAAGATGGACGACAGCGTCCTGCAGCTGACCAACGTGGCCTCGGAGCTGGTGCGCAAGCACGTGGGGGGCTTCCGGAAGGAGTTCCAGAAGCTGGGCAATGCTTTCCAAGCCATCAGCCACTCCTTCCACATGGACCCCCCCTACAGCTCGGACGCCCTCAACAACGCCATCTCCCACACGGGCAAGACATACGAGACCGTGGGGGAGATGTTCGCCGAGCAGCCCAAGAACGACCTGTTCCTCATGCTGGACACTCTCTCTTTGTACCAAGGGCTCCTCTCCAACTTCCCAGACATCATCCACCTCCAGAAAGGTAAGGGTGGCTTCTTCTCCCCTGGTGATGACCTCTCCTGCGTGATGGCCCCACATGGGTGGGAGCAGCACGGGGAGCGGGATGGGGATGCAATGAGGAAATCCTGTGCTGTGCAGTGACGGGGATGAGGATGGGGATGGGGACGAGGATGGGGATGAGGATGGGGACCGTTGCCTGTGGCTCCCAGGGAGGCAGCATGGTCCCTGCTGGCACGGCTCCCCAGTCGCCCCAACCCCGGGAGAGGCTGCTGGGGCTGTTGGGCCCAGGATCAGGTTTTGCCTCAAGTGATGCCGTGGACTCCATAACTGCTGCCCAAAGCGCTGGCCGGGGGGGTCAGGGCAGGCGTCGCTCCCCCCGAGCCGCGAGCAGGAGCCGGCACCGTTGCTGTTGGCTCCAGGATGGCCTGCCCAGCACCTTGTGAGCATGGGGCTGCGTCGCATCCCCACCCACCACTGCTTGTCCCTCCTCATCCTCCCTCCTCGGCTGAGGCAGCGGTTGGGTGGCCAGCAGGGATGCTCGAGCTTGCTCCCCACCCCCGGGGCTGGGACACGGCTGGGACATGGCCTTGGGTCGGTCAGAGGGGGCCGCCCCCCCCGAGCCGCGAGCAGGAGCCGGCACCGTTGCTGTTGGCTCCAGGATGGCCTGCCCAGCACCTTGTGAGCGTGGGGCTGCGTCGCATCCCCACCCACCACTGCTTGTCCCTCCTCATCCTCCCTCCTCGGCTGAGGCAGCGGTTGGGTGGCCAGCAGGGATGCTCGAGCTTGCTCCCCACCCCCGGGGCTGGGACACGGCTGGGACACGGCCTTGGGTCGGTCGGAGGGGGCCGGGGGGGCTGTGCAGGGCAGGTGGGATATGGACGTGTCCCTTCTTCCCACCAGTCTCGCTGCACTCCTCTGGCCAGGGGGGACACGCTGGACCTTCTGGGGACAACCAGGGTCAAACTCTTCAAGAGTACATCCCTGCCCCTCCGAGCCCAGGACGGGTGGGTTTAGCACCCCCAGGGCATCGGGGCTCCCTGCATCCCCTTATCCCCTTGTGCCTGCAGGTCCCCTGGGTATTTGGGGGGGG